TCGAAATCATACCCCATGAGCTTGGCCACCCAATTTTGTTGAGAAGGAGTGGTGATGCGTTGTTGTAACAAGTGGCGGAGGCTGCAATGGTCTGTCCGGACTGTAAATCGACGCCCCATGAGATGTGGCCTCCAATGTTGAATTGCTAGAACTAGGGCCATTAGTTCCTTTTCATAAGTAGATTTAGCCAATGTCTGACCTGAGAGCCCCTTGGTAAAATAAGCTATAGCGCGTTGTCCTTGGTGCAATACTGCTCCAATCCCGGTTCTGGAAGCATCACATTCAATGATGAATGGTCGTGAAAAATCTGGTGTGACCAAAACTGGAGAAGTGGTTATAGCTGTCTTGAGTGCCTCAAAAGCATTGTTTGCAGCCTCGGTCCAAGAAAATTTGTCCCCAGCGTCCTTCTTTAAAAGGGCCGTGAGAGGTTGTGCTATCTTCCCATAGTCTTTAATGAACCTTCGGTAATATCCTGTGAGGCCTAGGAAACCCCGAACAACCTTGATAGATTTTGGGACAGGCTAGCGAATAATACTTGAGACCTTAGATGGATCCATTGCTACCCCAAATTGAGAAACAACATGGCCTAAGTATTCAATAGCAGCTTGGCCGAATTGACATTTTTTCCCATTAGCTGTCAGCTGGTGAACATGCAGAGTTCTCAAGGCCACTTCTAAGTGCTGCAGATGGTCTTCCCAAGTCAAACTATACACAAGAATATCATCGAAGAAAACCAGTATGAATTTGCGAAGGTATGGCCGGAAAATGTCATTCATGATAGCCTGAAAGGTGGTCGGTGCTTTAGTTAGGCCAAACGGCATTACCAAGAACTCGTAGTGCCCGGAGTGTGTGTAGAACGCTGTTTTAGCCACGTCACTAGGAGCTACCCGAATTTGATGAAAAATATCTTGCACCATACAACTCATCCAGCATCTCCTGTATAACTGGGATGGGGTATTTATCTGGCACAGTGACTTTGTTAAGTTCGCGATAGTCGACGCAGAATCACCAACTCCCATCTTTTTTTTTTTTTACCAGTAAAACTGGGCTCGAAAATGGGGACGAGCTAGGCTGGATGATCCCCATAGTGAGCATGATCTTTCAATTTCATTTTTCTGATTATGGCCATAACGGTAAGGTTTAACGCTTACCGGAGAAAATCCAGTTTGCAAGGTAATCTGGTGGTCATTTGCTCGGGAAGGAAGCATGCCTTTTGGTTCGCTGAAAATATGTTGGGGCTGTTGTAGTAGTTTTTGCAACTGAGTGATGCGTAGTATATTTGCAAACAAATAATTCCCGGAGTATTCAGGTAGTCGAACCACAGGGAGATGGGGTACTAATCACTAATTACTCGCTTACTCATAAGAGCTAGTCTGATCGAAACTTGATGGTTGATTGGTTGCATAAAATAACGAGCAAGAAATAAAACAAATATTAAGGTTTCGTAAACAATAGAGCAAAATGAGATTCTTGGGATCACAATGTTTAATCACCTAGTGCCAATTAACGTTTGTAATATTTGGTTTGGAATTAAGATCTGTGTGGGAATGCAAAGTGGAATCGAATTACTCCCGTAATCTCTATTCCTAGTGAATTTCCACTCCCGTGGCTTAAACACCCGATAAGATCGAAGATCAGCATTCAATTATTCCTAATTACTACCATCTCCCGATGAGCAACAATCTAGAATAAACTTCCCCTAATAAATTCCCCTTTCCCAAGGTCTAACCATTAGGTGCAATCGTGTGTGCCCTAATTTATGCCCCAATTCCCATTGGTGACACAAATATGACTATGAAGCTAGTAATTTAGGCCTTTAATTACCAACAACAACAGGTTAAAACAAGATTGCAACACAAATCATAAAACTAAACATAAATATATTAAGAAATTAACGAACAAGGCACATAGGTTCATAAACAAATTCACCCAAAAATCCCTAAGGAATTTAGCCGTTCATGGCCATAATAACAGTAAATTCAATGCTTAAAGATAAACAAATAACAACGAGAATAAGAGTAAGACTGAAAGAGTTCTCCCGAATCTTTCTAGCTAGTTCTCTATTCCAAAGCTAGTTGTAAATCTTCAAATTGGTCCTCTTTGTGCTTTGCTCTTGATTGCCTTCAAAACACCGAAATCGCAGAAGAAAAAAGAGAGCATAGGGTTGATAGAAGATGATCTTTTTATAGTAGAGACCCGATGGCATCAATTTAGGAGTCTTCCAAATTAACGTCTCTCCGCGATCTCGATGAGTCGAGATCATGCTCGACGCGTCGAGCCTCCAAAATGTGCGATGTTTGAAGCTACAGGAATTTTTCGACGCGTCGAGGCATGGGCTCGACGCGTCGAATTGCTGATGCTTCGACTTCTTCCTCTTTTAATCATTTCGTGCTTGAAATTCTTCCCTTGCTCTCACGCTCACCCTGTAATGGTGAAGAAAAACACTACCGAACACCGTAAGGCATTCAAAACAAGTGTAAAAACATAATCTAACGAGAAAGCAAGGAAAACAAGTAATAAATGGACATGATTCAATAACTTTGTTTCTAAAATGAATCAGAAAAGCTATAAAAACATGCACAGATGTGATAACATCACCCCCTCACACTTAAGACTTTGCTTGTCCTCAAGCAAAACACTGAATCAAACCGCAGGTCAAAACACAAGGATCGCTCCCAATTTCTCGTGCACAACTTAGCAAACCACAAGCCAACTCACTGCAGGACACATGCTTCCAGAATCATCTCTGCTTGGCACCCGCGTTCTACTCCCAAGCCAACATACAAGCACCCAGATTGTTAGTAGTGAGAAATCTAGTGTGCACACGTACTCAGTTAGGTTTATGCAAAACACGACATCAGAAAAACATCCTAGGCTTGCCCTTCCTACTCCTCCTGAATAGAACTAACATTGCATGTAAAGATCAAATAGGTCTTTATTAAGCTTGTAATGGGGCTAAGGGTCACGGTTTATAAGAGACAAAAAAAAAAAAAAAAAAAAAAAGGTAAGGAATGATAACAAAGGGAGAGAATGACACAATTATCTATAGCTTTAAATCTTTAGAAGAGAAATACGAATGATGAATAAGGGAGCAAAAAGGCAACTTATCAAGACCATAATAGCTCTGAAAGATAAGGGGATTGATATAAGGATTTTACTCAATCAACATTGGATTTGAGTTTTTTTTTTTTTTTTTTTTTTTTTTTTTTTTTTTTTTTTTGGTAAGATCAATACTGCAACTGAATGAGAAAAGAATGGGTTTATTCAAGCAAGTAATAACCGAGTTTCTCTTAAGGTAAGCTCCAAAGAAGAATTCTCTTCTATAAGATTTTATTTCTAAAGACAAAAGTTACATTCTCTCAAAGGGTGGAAGGATAATATTTGGCCAAGGGCTATAGGTTATAATATGGGGGTAATTCAAAGAAAAAAAAATAATCACGAAGAGGTAATAAGTGCTTAGCACTTATTATAAAGAAAATAAAAGGCTCAAAGGGGACACAAAGGATAACACATACGTAGGGACATGTTTAAAGGCTATGAGCTACAAAGAATGGCCTAAATCATTTCAATATATGCGAAAATTAGACTAAACCTGAGGAGTAATGAGACAAGCTTTCGTAAGCCAACTAATTGTCGGAATTCCACATAAACTTTCACTAGCACAGGCACTAACCACTAGATTAAGAAATTAGTCCGATTATGAGTGGGTGACAAGTATATTAACAAGGAAAATAAATCACTGAAGTGTTACACTTTGATTTCATCCATGGCATAATGAGATGCAACAAGTTCCACCAAAACAAACCACTACCCGACACGAGAGAGCGAGAACAATTAAGTATCAAGACCAACAGTTTATTGGAAATAAAGGCACATGAGTCATTCAAGCAAGAATTCAAGTGAAGGGAACGAAATGGAATACGAGATCAGACTAAATAAAATTAAAGTGCAAAGACTAAGGAAAGGAAAGGAAATACTTCAATCCTTCCCCCTCACACTTAGAGAATTACATTGTCCCCAATGTAATAAATTAAGTGAAGGAAAAGGAGTTGGAGTATTGCCGTAGAACCTTCTACTAGTCGGTATCTGGAGGTGGTGGTGGTGGATAGTATCCCCGATAGAAGTCCGGGATGTACTGAGGATCTCGCAGCCAAGGCGGTGGTGGTGGAAAGTTCGGCTGGAAGCCGAGATGGGCCTGATTCTGCTGGTGTATGGAGGTGCCCATGAACCCGTTCACCTCATCAGTTCTGCGCATGAAATCCTACCAATCATGAGGGAAGGTAGGTGCAGGGGCAGGTGCAGGTGCAGCCATCTGTGGGGCAATTGCATCATCGCCCCCTTCATCATCTTCATCGTCTTTCTCTTCCCCGAATTGCTGACCGGTCTTGTAGCGTTTCTCAAGGTAATGCTCAGATATGAAGGCTTGTGGAGCTAACTTGACCTCCTGGGATTCATCAATAGGAACCCCAGCCAGCTGGCAAAGATGCGTAATGAGGTAGGAGTGGCCGAGGTAGAATCGACCCTTCGCATCAGCAGCTTCGCGGATATTGCCGTTGATGATATGGCCAATGTCAATAATCTTGCGTTGCCGGATGCAGTAGGTAAGGAGCACTAAGTCTTTTCGGACAGTCCCCTTGTGAGAATTTAGGACAAGCTTTGCTTTGATGAAGTCCAAGATTCCCCTGTCAGCAGTCTTAAAATACTTGTAGTCCATGTGGGAGGCTACACCCCCCTGATATTCCATTCGGCCGTCGGGTGGAAGAATTGTGCAATACGGTTCAGCCAATCTTGGTCCATGTGGCCACGACCCATATCTCGATTAAAGTAATCATCGCCCATGTAATTACGCGTACCGTAGTACTCATTAATGGCTTCCGCCGAGAAGTCGACCGGAACGCCCCGGACAATACAAACATTGGTTTCGAGGCCATCCTTTCATTCGCATAGAATTCCCGCACCAGATTGCTAAATGCATCTCCTGGTTGAGCAAGGAATCGGGGTGCCCAATTCCACGCTTCCGGGACCACTATATGTGCGCCACGTTCTTTTAGAACGGGCCGGGCAGACATCAACTGATGGTATCGTTGAGCCGCTGCGTCTGTTACAAAACGTTCATATTGTGCAGCATGTTGTGGTTGTTCCCGGACTTGCGAAGATTCGGCTCTTGGCCGTTTGGATGGTTGACGGGCTCTTGGTGCCATAGGAAAAACCTACAAAATTCAAAAATAAAACAAAACTTTCAAGTACTTGATCTAGAATTTATAGCCAAAATATCAAAAGTGAGTCTAAGGATTTCAAACTTTTCAATCAAGGGCACAAACTTCACTTGGGCATTTAATCAAACACCTTGTGGGCATGAACTTTAACACTAGGTTTATGTAAAATTGACATATCAAATTCATCCCACAAGTTCACCACACAACAAAACAAGGGTACCCATCATCAGAAGCAAGGTCTACAATCATCATAGACTAAAATAAGGAATTAAAACTATCAAAACAAAGTGAAATGGAGCTTAAACAACCAACGAAGAAATTTAGAAAATTAAATCAAAATGTGAGTGCAATGGTTTCTAATGTAGCAATTACAACATGTATATAGCAACAATCAATCATTAGTAATCAACAATGGGCAATTTATCTACCAAAAATTCAAAATCAGGGGAAAAATTCGTGGGTAGGGCGCCTACCCAAGAATAGAGCAAAAATGCACATCCAAATCAAGAAATTGAAAGTAGAAAAGAGTGATTATTGTTACCTTGCAGCTTTAGGAAGTGAATGGAGAGGAGAACCAGAGGATTCAGACCTGGGGTATCTTGGGCGAGTGAGAGATTGAGAGAAAATTATGAGTTTGGGGAGAAAAACGGACCGCCGGTCGCAATTTAACAGATCTGTTCTGTCGCGTCTCGACGCGTCGAAAAATTTCCCGTAGGAAAATTTTCGAGACGCGATGGTTTCGACGCGTCGAGGAATGGGCTGGACGCGTCGAAAATTTCCAGTAGGTTATCCCTTCGAATCAGTGGGAACTCGACGCGTCGAAGACAACCCCTATACCGCTGTTTGACACAGAAACCAGAAAAAACACTCAAATTTTGTAAAACAAACTAGAATTAAATAATTAGCAAGAAATAAAAAATGCGATAAATTAAAGGATAACATGGGGTGCCTCCCATGGAGCGCTAAGTTTAACGTCGCTAGCTCGACTGTACCTCCTTTTCAGGTGTCACATGTAGGTCGGGAGATGAAGGCAATGTATCACATTGACCTTAGGTTCCTCGGGTGAATAGTAGTGCTTCAACCTTTGTCCATTGACCGTCAATTCATCTTGTGTTCCTTGAAGCACCACGGCACCCGATGGATGTACCTTAATCACTTTGTGTGGCCCAGTCGACTTGGATTTTAATTTTCCTGGGAACAATTTCATCCTTGAATTGAATAGAAGGACGTCGTCTCCCGGGACAAATTCTCTCTTTAGAATGTGCTTGTCATGTCACCTCTTGGTCTTCTCCTTGTAGATTTTCGCATTGTCATAGGCTTCGAGCCTGAATTCGTCAAGTTCGTTTAGTTGATGTAGCCTCTTCTCACCTGCGAGTTGCAAATCCATGTTGAGCGTCGTGACTGCCCAATGGGTTTTGTGTTCTAACTCCACGGGCAAGTGACAAGGTTTCCCATAAACAAGTCTGAAAGGTGAAGTTCCAATAGGATTCTTGAAAGCGGTCCTATACGCCCACAATGCATCATCAAGCTTTGTGGACCAATCTTTTCGAGACGGATTGACCACCTTCTCAAGAATGGATTTGATTTCTCGGTTTGACAGTTCCACTTGACCATTGGCTTGGGGATGGTTTGGTGTAGAGAGTCTGTGATGAATTCCATACTTCTCAAGAACTTTCCCCAACGCTTTGTTGCAAAAATGTGTCCCATTATCAGTGATCAAAGCTCTTGGCACCCCAAACCTTGCAAAAATATTCTTCTTGATGAACTTGATGACAACCTTGGAATCATTAGTTGGACAAGCAATGGCTTCAACCCATTTGGAGACATAGTCCACTGCCACTAGGATGTATTCATTACTAAAAGACTTGGGGAATGGACCCATGAAATCCAAACCCCAGACATCAAATAGTTCCACTTCAAGAATACTTTGTTGAGGCATCTCGTTTCTCCTTCCCACTGTGCCCACTCTTTGGCACTTATCACAACGAGCTACGAAAGAATGTGAATCTTTGAATATACTGGGCCAATAAAATCCTGACTGTAAAACCTTTTTCGCTGTTCGAGAAGGTCCAAAATGCCCTCCATAAGGTGATGAATGACAATGCTTTAAGACACTTTCTACCTCGTCTTCGGGCAAGCATCTTCTTAATATTCCATCTGCACATCTCTTGTATAGAAACGGTTCATCCCAAAGATAGAATTTTGCATCAGTTTGTAGTTTCTTCTTCAACAACCTAGAAGCATTTGGTGGAAATTGTTGGCAAACCACATAATTTACCAAATCTGAATACTAGGGCATAAAAGCACGAAGAGCCATCAGTTGCTCTCCCACGAAGTAATCATTGATTGGAATCTTTTCTCCTTCAGCCACTTCGTTTTGGTTATCTAATCGGGACAAATGATCAGCTACAAGATTTTCTGTTCCCTTTTTGTCTATGATTTCCAAGTCAAACTCTTGAAACAGAAGGGTCCACCTCATCAGTCTTGGCTTGGATTCCTTTTTGCTCATCAAGTACTTCAATGCTGAGTGATCGGTATGGACAATGACCTTATATCCGTTCAGGTAGGATCGAAATTTATCAACAGAAAAAATCACAGCCAGCATCTCCTTTTCTGTTGTGGCATAATTAACCTGAGCCGCATCAAGAGTACGGCTTGCATAGTAAATTGGGTATAGGCACTTGCCCTTCTTTTGACAAAGGACGGCCCCTACAGCATAGTCACTAGCATCGCACATAATCTCAAATGGTAAGTTCCAATCTGGCGGTGACATTATGGGAGCTGTTGTCAATGCCTTCTTCAATCTGCAGAAAGCTTCAAGGCAAGCATCATCAAAAACAAAGTTAGCATCTTTTAAAAGCAATTGAGTTAAAGGTTTAGAGATTTTTGAAAAGTCTTTGATAAATCTCTTGTAGAACCCTGCATGGCCAAGAAAACTCCTTATTCCCTTTACTGAAACAGGTGGTGGCAGTTTCTCTATGACTTCCACCTTGGCCAGGTCAACTTCAATGCCTTTTTCTGATATCTTGTGTCCAAGAACAATCCCTTGTTGTACCATAAAGTGACATTTTTCCCAATTTAGAACAAGGTTTGCTTCTTGACACTTTCTTAATGCCTCATCCAAATTATCAAGACAATTATCAAAAGAAGAACCATATACAGAAAAATCATCCATGAAAACTTCTATAGTCTTCTCAACTAAATCGGAAAAAATGGCTAACATGCACCTTTGAAATGTAGCTGGTGCATTACATAACCCAAATGGCATCCTTCGATATGCAAAGGTGCCATAGGGGCATGTAAACGTAGTTATCTCTTGGTCATCAGGGTGGATTGGGATCTGGAAGAACCCCAAAAAACCATCAAGAAAGCAAAAGTAAGAGTACTTAGCCATCCTTTCAATCAGCTGATCAACAAACGGAAGAGGAAAATGATCCTTCCTGGTGGCATCGTTCAACTTTCTGTAGTCCGTACACATCCTCCACCCAGTGACTAACCTGGTAGGAATGAGCTCATTTTTCTCATTACGGACTACAGTTGTCCCCCTTTCTTTGGGACCACGTGAATAGGGCTGACCCACTTACTGTCATGAACAGGATAAATGATGCCAGCTTTCAACAATTTTAGGATCTCTTTCTTCACAACCTCCTGCATCGTAGGATTTAACCTACATTGGTGCTCAACACTGGGTCTACGCCCATCCTCTAAGTTAATCCTGTGCATGCAGTAGGAAGCTCTAATTCCAACAATATCATCAATAGTGTAACCAATGATTCTCTTATGTTGTCTTAACACATTTAATAATTTTTCCGTTTCATCATCTTTCAAATGAGCACTTACAATCACTGGGTAAGTAGAATTTGGACCAAGATAAGCATACCTCAAGTTTGTTGGTAAAGGTTTTAATTCTATCTGTGGTGGTTCCTTTTCCTCGAGGTTACATGCAAGGAATATTAGTGGCAATTCCTGTGATTCCTCATCATTCGTACCATCCTCCAAGCATTCACTCTTTGTAGAATCTTCACCTTCGAGTTGTAAAGGGTCATTGGAAATCCATTTACCCCTCTCATAAGTTGCAACACATGAGTCGATTTCGTCTACATAAAAGCAAGAATCAAGACAAGAAGATTTGTTAGCCAATTCAAAAACATTAAATTCAACTTTATCTTCTCCAATCTCAAGAACTAAGGTTCCTTTTTTGACATTGATTATAGCTCCAGCGGTTGCCAAGAATGGTCTCCCAAGGATAATAGGAATTTTAGCATCTTCTTCCATCTCTAAAACCACGAAGTCTCCCGGAATGTAAAATTTGTCAATCTTCACTGGCACATCCTCCAGAATTCCGATAGGATATTTCACTGATCTGTCTGCCAACTGAAGAGTTATGGATGTAGGTTTTGGCTCTCCAAGTTGCAGCTTTTGACACAAAGAATAAGGCATCAAACTCACACTTGCCCCTAAATCTCATAAAGCTTTTTGAACAAGTGATCCTCCAATAACACAAGGGATAGAGAAACTCCCAGGATCCCTAATTTTTGGAGGAAGCTTGTTTTGAATTAAAGCACTACATTCTTCACTTACTGCTACTGTCTCACGATTCTCAGCTCTCCTCTTGTTGGATAAAATCTCTTTCAAAAACTTAGCATACGAGGGAATCTCGATCACTGCATCAATAAAAGGAATGGTGATATCCAGTTGCTTGATCAAACTGTAGAAGTTTGCTCTTCTTTCCTCTTCCCTAGATTTCTGGAATTTTTGTGGGAAGGGTAGAGGTGGTGTATGCTTCTTTACGGGTTCAATTTCTTGTATCTCATCTTCCTTATCTTGAGCAATAACACCCTCATTCACTTTCTCATTTTCACCTTCTAGATTCTTCTTGACAACTTGTTCCCCATTAGGATATGGTGGGTCCAATAATTGCTTCCCACTCCTAGTGGTGACGGCGTTCATGTGTTCTCTTGGTTTTTCGGGCATAGCTGGCAACTTACCTGTGACTTTAGTACTTGATATAGATGGTTGATTTGCTAACTGATTTTCAACCATATTTTGGCGAGTATCCATCCGATCCAACCTTTCTGTAATCTCTAACTGACCTTTAACCAATTTTTCCAACAATAATTCCATATTCGACGGGACCGGTGTTTCCACATTAGGCTTGGATTGATTTACTGGAACTTGATATCCTTGGTTCTGCCTGAATTGTGGTGGATGATTTCCTCTAAAATTTTGCTACCCCTGAAATCCTGGTGGTTGACTTCTACTATTTAAGTACTGGGGATTAGCCGCCCCAGCTGGATTACCCCAAGAGAAACCAGGATGATTCCTCGATGCATTTGGATTGTAGGTTCTTCGTTGTTGGAATGCCGGTTGTATACTACCATACCCTACCACATCAACTTGTTCCATTGTAGCTTGAGAATCAACACTGAGACACTCCTCTGAATTGTGCTCTCCTCCACACAACTCACACATCATTGCAGGTCTTGGAGGAGTAGAAGCTTTAGAAACATTACCTGGAGCTTGATTCTTGATAGTAATCTGGGCCAACTGTTGAACTAAAGTGGCTACATTATCAAACTTAGCCGATAGAGCGGATATCTGATCAACTTCAGTCACGCCTCCTATCAACCTCTGGGGAGATCTCTCTGAATACCAAGTCGTCCCATTCATCGCAATATTTTCCAACAATTCTTCAGCTTGATCTGGCTCTAGGATTGTAAATGATCCTCGCGATGAAGCATCGACTAGGATTTTTGAATTGTCCAGTAATCCCTCATAGAAAGCCATCATTAAATCCCAATTCTGAATACCGTGATGAGGACATTGTATCCTCATCTCTTTGAATCTCTCCCATGACTCTGCCAAAGACTCACCAGTTAACTGTCTGAAATTCTGAATAGATCTCCTCATTTTCTGAGTCTTAGATATGGGAAAAAATCTCTTAAGGAACTCTCTGTGCAACTGGTCCCAAGTTTCAAAATAGTTCGCCGGATAAGAGGCAAGCCAACTGTTAGCTTTATCCCTTACAGTGAATGGAAAGAGGCGAAGCTTGATAGCATCTCCCGGGACTCCATTAATTTTGAAAGTGCTGCAAATCCTCAGAAATTTTGCAATGTGAGCATTAGGGTCTTCTGTTGGTGACCCACCAAAAGGATCCGAAGCAGCCATCGGAATTATAGCCGGTTTTATTTCAAAATTATTAGCATCAACCCCTGGCACATTGATACTTCCATGTCCTGCTGCATCTGGAGCAACGTAATCTGAAATGGGCCTCCCAATGCGTAGTGGTTGATTGACTCCCTCTCCATCGAGAGCCAGATTGTTCTGATTTCCATTGTTCGCCATCCTAACCTGTTTTCTTAAGAACTTGGCTCGCTTTTCGATCTCTGAATTAAAAGGTTCTAATCCTTCGTTCCCTGAAGAGCGAGTTCGCATATAACACCAAGTCCGCTGATAACAGAAACACAGCTCAACACAAGAAACTCGTTATCGATTAGCGAAAATAAAAATGAATTAAAATAAAAGAAAAAAAATTTTTAAAAAAAAAAGACTAGACTCCGAAAATAAAACTTTCACTAATATTAGTACGTAGCGCCACCTCCCCGGCAACGGCGCCAATTTGATGCGTAGTATATTTGCAAACAAATAATTCCTGGAGTATTCAGGTAGTCGAACCACAGGGAGATGGGGTACTAATCAGTAATTACTCGCTTACTCATAAGAGCTAGTCTGATCGAAACTTGATGGTTGATTGGTTGCATAAAATAACGAGCAAGAAATAAAACAAATATTAAGGTTTCGTAAACAATAGAGCAAAATGGGATTCTTGGGATCACAATGTTTAATCACCTAGTGCCAATTAACGTTTGTAATATTTGGTTTGGAATTAAGATCTGTGTGGGAATGCAAAGTGGAATCGAATTACTCCCGTAATCTCTATTCCTAGTGAATTTCCACTCCCGTGGCTTAAACACCCGATAAGATCGAAGATCAGCATTCAATTATTCCTAATTACTACCATCTCCCGATGAGCAACAATCTAGAATAAACTTCCCCTAATAAATTCCCCTTTCCCAAGGTCTAACCATTAGGTGCAATCGTGTGTGCCCTAATTTATGCCCCAATTCCCATTGGTGACACAAATATGACTATGAAGCTAGTAATTTAGGCCTTTAATTACCAACAACAACAGGTTAAAACAAGATTGCAACACAAATCATAAAACCAAACATAAATATATTAAGAAATTAACGAACAAGGCACATAGGTTCATAAACAAATTCACCCAAAAATCCCTAAGGAATTTAGCCGCTCATGGCCATAATAACAGTAAATTCAATGCTTAAAGATAAACAAATAACAACGAGAATAAGAGTAAGACTGAAAGAGTTCTCCCGAATCTTTCTAGCTAGTTCTCTATTCCAAAGCTAGTTGTAAATCTTCAAATTGGTCCTCTTTGTGCTTTGCTCTTGATTGCCTTCAAAACACCGAAATCGAAGAAGAAAAAAGAGAGCCTAGGGTTGATAGAAGATGATCTTTTTATAGTAGAGACCCGATGGCATCAATTTAGGAGTCTTCCAAATTAACGTCTCTCCGCGATCTCGACGCGTCAAGGCATGGGCTCGACGCGTCGAATTGCTGATGCTTCGACTTCTTCCTCTTTTAATCATTTCGTGCTTGAAATTCTTCCCTTGCTCTCAGGCTCACCCTGTAATGGTGAAGAAAAACACTACCGAACACCGTAAGGCATTCAAAACAAGTGTAAAAACATAATCTAACGAGAAAGCAAAGAAAACAAGTAATAAATGGACATGATTCAATAACTTTGTTTCTAAAATGAATCAGAAAAGCTATAAAAACATGCACAGATGTGATAACATCACTGAGATTGTTGGACTGCCGAAATAGTAGGGTCACCATGAATATTTGGTGACAGAGAGAGCTCCCACAATAACCAGCAGTTTGTTGTGTCTTTATCCAATGAGTTAAGGGAAATAGGAAGTCTAGCCAGAGATGGGTCACAAACTAATTGTACCGGTGTATCGCCAATGGTAAATTCCATTGTCAGCTTTGTCCAATTTGCCTTAACATCCCCCAGTGTCTCTAACCATGCTATGCCTAGAATCAAGTCAACTCCACCCAAGGGGAACACAAAACAATCGATCGGCATTGCATTGGGGCCCAAATCAACCTGTAGTTGAGAATATTTACCGTCGGATTCAGCACGACGACCATCCCCAATCGGACTCCAAAGGTCGTGGTTGGTTCCAGTGGATGTTGCAAAAAGGAGGTCAAGCGACGAGAGATGAAATTATGACTTGCACCACTGTCTACCACTATAAGAATATCAAGACCTGCAATTCGGCCCTGAAATTTCATTGTCTTAGGACCGTCAATCCCTCCCATGGCAGTCAATGGAAGTTCTAACAAGGAAAGCTGCGCAACTTCTGGTGGTGGGTCTCTGTCCAAAAATTGATCGATATCACCATCATTGATTTCACCTCCACCGTCTTCATCTTCACTTGTGATTAATGTTCTAAGGGACTTATTCAGGCATACATGTAATGGGCTGTAGGGTTGTTGACAGCGGAAACAGAGTCCATTCGCTCTCATGTCTAAATATTCTCTATTTGAATAACGCTGTGCCGGAGCCGGTGATGATGTCAAACCAGAGCTGCGTGTGGAAGCAGAAGCTTGTGTTTTTTAGAATGAAGTTTGCGTTTCAGAGGGAGGTATTTGGCTATTAGTAAAATATTGAGAGTGGGCCGACATGGGTTTGGGCTGTGAATGTTTTAAATAGGAATTGGCCTAGTAGCTTTGCCCATGACTTTTGGACCAGGTATTTGCAGAACTCTTCTGGAACGATCGTTCTTCTTCATTCACATCGCGGCTAGGGAATCAACCGGTAAAAACAAAGTCGATCTCTTGTTCTACGGCGCGAGCCACCCGCATCGCCGTTCGGAGGTCTATCACGTCATTTGGTTGAAGTCGCACCCGTATCGTCGGTTTCAGCCCGTTGAGAAAAAGTCCTAGTTGAATGTGAGTCGCAAGTCCTGAGGTTTGGGCAATCCGAGTTCGAAACTTAGTGATATACTCATCGACTGTTCCTATCTAGCGAAGAGCCGCAAGCTGCTCGAACAGTGGACCAGGTAGGTCTTCACCAAACTCTTCTAACAGGTCTTGAGTAAACCGAGACCATGTTAGACTAGGATTTTGTTGTTGTAGCCACCGAAGCCAATGTAGAGCCGGTCCTTGCATACTGATAAAGGCTGTCGGAACCTTCAGATCTTCCCGGGTGTGATGTATGGCGAAATATTGCTCTACTCTGGCCAACCATCCGATCGGTTCGACACCATCAAATGTAGGAAGTTCCAATCTTCCCGTGGGAAGTGTGGTGTTGTCTGGAGGAGCCAATCGTTCTGGCGAGGGGATGGAATCAATTGTTGGGACTGCTACCGATGACGCACTGGCATCGCCCTGCCCTTTTCTTTGGAGGGAGAGAGCGAGGAAGTCGGACATCCTAGCCACAGAAGCTTCTACAGCTCCAAATCGATCCGTCAATGTAGTCAATTCAGTACGAATTGCATCTTGGTTATTCCCTAACGTCTCTATGAGGGAATCATGTGTGTTCGTCATTCAACGGTAGGTCGGACCAATTTGTTAGAGATAAGAACAAAATGTATGTTTTATTGACTGAAAAGTTTAGAAAAGGAACAGGAAGTCATAAGACCTTCCCCACAAGAGTATTAGGCTCTTGCCCAGCTACTTAGAGCTTCAAAGACGTAAAGGATTTGATGATCTACTCTCTTCTAGAGATTCTGATTTATAGTGCTAGGACATGAATAATTATAGAAAGGAGATGATTGCTGATATGATTGTTGAGATGATTATGCCTCTCTTTATTTGTCAAAACCCTTGAGTTAAACCTTCCCTTGTATATCCTAATTTGCATCCGAGTAAACTATCCATCCTTTTGGATGCGTATCATACTTCATGTTCAAAGGTAAAAACTCAGACACACAAGTGTGAACATAGAAAACATTCATCCATCGCACTAGTCCTTCCAAAAGTCGGTAGGTCATGAGTTTGCTAAGAGAGATGTTTCTCTAATTGATCAAATCAGCTTGGGTATTCTCCTGGGCTTCAAAAAATTGAGGAGGCTTCTTCACTATATGGTATAATGCTTTCTACAGACAGATAGAATTTCCTTAAGCCATTTGGATTGGAAAGTTAATCTTGGTGAGGATAATCAGAGAGAATTATCAGTTATTGGAACCAATTGTGATGTTGCATTCTGGTTATGGTCCAAACTCAGAGTATAAGGTATAATTTCTCTTACACTAAAAATTTAGTATTCTGTATTTTAACAATATTCAGTGATTCATATTTACTGAATATAGGAATTGCCCTCACATGCATTTGAAGTAGTTAGTTTACTTTGGAATTCAAAATTATGGGGTATATATTATTATATTAAACAATTTAAAATATTTTAGTTTTTTCATTTTTTATTTATATTTATAATAACATAATTTTTTCCCGTGCCTCGCGCCGGTGAATTACTAATAATAATAATAATAATAATAATAATAATAATAATAATAATAATAATAATAATAATAATAATAATAATAATAATAATAATGATAATAATGATAATAATGATAATAATGATAATAATAATAATAATAATAATAATAATAATAATAATAATAATAATAATAATAATAATAATAATAATAATAATAATAATAGAACAATATATAATTAAGCTAAGCTCGAAATTACAATAAAATAGTATATAATTAGGCTAAAATACACCTTTTATCAGATGTGTAGGTGTATTTGCTGAATAGATCATGATTAATAATTGTTCCCAATGTAGTGTTTGGTTTCCCATTGTAATCAAATTGGAAAGCAACAAGTAATATCATAATCAAGCGTGCGAAAATAGAGAAGAAATTTTAGACATGTAATGATTGCAAAACAAATATAAAATATCAAATTTTAATAAAAATTTATGCTTGAAAATAATCATTACAGCTTAAGTTTGGAATTGCAAATTTGGTGGGAAACATACTATAAATATTGCATGTGCAGAGGAAAATCTCACAAACTGAACACCCACATTATCAGCATACAAGTAGAAAGTTTAACTCCTAAAAATCCCCATAATGCATGGGATGTATATTTTGGCAAGTGAGGTAGCCCACTAAACACCAAAAAAAAAAGCTATGAGAGTTAGGTTGGTTAGAACATATGAGATCCCAGATCACAGAGGCAGTTCTTTTAGTAAAAGCAAGGAATGACCTCACCGCGTGTCCTAAGATTCTTATATCCTAAGTACCTAAACACTTAGAATTCAAGCTTAACATCCTAAAGTCTCATTCTTATGGCACTAACCTAGGCTCAATCATATGCTCCTGAGCATTTACACTTAAAGTTCAAGCTTAACATCTTAAAGTCTAATCCTAAAGGCATTGTCCTAGGGCCGATCTTAAGCTCTGATATCAACTGTAAGAATGTGACTATATAGAGTATACTACTTGCGTATATATATATATATATATATATATATATATATATATATATATATATATATATATATATATATATATATATATATATAAAGTATGTCCGGGATTGCGACTGTATTTGATATGCTTCGAAAAAATCCAAGCTTCAGTGGCCAGACTGTCTACTCTTATGGTGTCTTCTCAGCTAAACTCGCTGCCTCTGCTTCCACCGCTTCTATTGCCGCAACTATTCCTTTTGCTTATATGGCATTTTTGGGGTAAAAGATTCACTTTTCCGTACATATGTCCATATCTAACATAGATGTAATTTTGCATTTCCTCAGTTTAAGATTATTAATAGAGATTATCAACTAATATACTGGACTGACTGACTCAGAGACTTGATTTGTCAGCCATCCAGTTAGAAAGCAGATAAGTTTAGAGCGGAAGACTAATGCAGAAAATAAATCAACACATACGATGTTTACCCAGTTCGATACAGTGTGTATCTACATCTGGGGGACGATCACCGAGGCGTCCAATCCACTAACTCATAATCCAATGTACAAAGGTAGAGAAACAACAATCTCACCCAAGTGCCCCACACAAGGTATGTACCCAGTCTACAAAGGTTTAGTGGATTGTTGAAGTCGGAGAGCCACGCATGCAGAAGTCCAACGAAATCCCTTCGATTGGAGAGCTAACTCTGATGCAATCCGCTTCAATGACGCAGTCTCACGTTGTTCCCACAACTGAGTGATCTTCGCGTCCTTTCGTTTAAGCAACGTTAATTCTTCTCAAGTTCTTCATCATAATCACCAAGAACTTAATATCTTGAGAAGAAACATGATAATCAAAGATGTGTGTTCCTGTATAGCATTGAGTGTTTTTGTCTTCTTAAAAACGTAACCCTAATTCTTGATCGAATGAGGATACTTATACTTCCTTGGAAGAACACTCTCCAAAAATATGTTTGATCGTAGATGGTAGGACGATTTGTGAAGAATGCAATCTTTAAGATTCGGTTCATACCTTCCACGCTGATCCGCTGATATTCTTTCCAAAACTGTCTTAATAAACCACATTCAGCATTTTGGAAACATCTTCCTTTAACAGATCTTCAGTGGCAGTGCGTTTGTTGATAATACTGATCAATCATTCCTCTATAAGAACAAACAGACACTAAGCTAAACCCTATCTTAATTTGCCATAATAATATTGTCGATTATATGTTGGTGTTTTGAACAAAATAAAACAGTAACAAACTCCCCCTTTGGCTATTATTTGGCAAAACAACTCGACTAAGGATCGAACTTTTAGCTAAAGATAGAGATGAGAACTAAATGTCGCATAAAGGGAAAACAGTCTGAAATACAACCCATAAATACATCAGTACACAAGCCGTGCTGGATAAAACAAGTAGTAGGTCCATTCTTCACAAAACATAAAGTCACCACAAAAAAACACACGCCCAGACAGGGCCAGAAGATACAGTAAAATACCATCACAAATCACAAAAAACTCCCCCTGAGTTTAGGCACTCCCCCTTTTTGCCAAATATAGACAAAGGACACATTAAGCATTTGAGGGACCTTCACTTTTAGACTTCACATTCTCAGCAGCAGACTCAGTCAGGCTCAATCAAAGCAAAACAGTTGCAAGTTCAGTGCGGGCTGCATTGAGCTGATTCGTGATAATGCCATTCACAGTTTCTAGCTCAGACACTCGAGCCTTCAGCCGTAGGGATAGCTGCACATCTTTAACATGTGGCGAATCCTCAACAGTAGTGTCAGCTTCAGAGGATGGAGGAGTATTAACTGGCGTAACATCCATGATATGTTTGTCGATCAACAGTCGCGGATCAACAGTATACAGCAGAGATGGAGTAATGATCTCACTTTGCATTGGCACCAGCCCCTGGGACGTTAAAACTCCAAAGATGAGATTCGGATAAGGAAGTCTTACCTTCTATTCCATTGGATGTATGAGTGTAAGAATGTGATAGAAAATCCATCTTCCCAGATCAATTGTCATCTTGGTGCCAATTTTGAACAGAAGAGCAGCTATTTGCTTCCTAACAGTATGAAAGTGTGCGGATGGAAGCCAATTGTGCAGAGCAATGCGGTGCAGAATAACATACTTGGAGGTAAAAACTGAGCTTGACAAGGTAGCAGTATCACCTGTAGGCCAAACTAGAGTGTGACCACCAGTGAGAGTCTTTGCAACCAAGTCCCAATAAAAAATTTCTTCTTCTTCCACTGGCTTTAACCCATAGTACTCATTGATCATGTCTGGTCCGAATAAGTACCACTGTCCCTTGATGAAAATCTGCTGGCACCGCGT